TAGTAACTGTAAATGTTCTGCCATTTCCTTCCAATAAATAATCACACCTGTGTTACAAACTTTTGTTTATGGTCCAGAGAATAAGTCAGCCTCTGTCCTAGATTTTCTTCTACAGAGTATCACTTAAACTGGGCCTGGAATACCAGCTATTTGGGAGGCTGAGGCAGGAAGATCAGAAATTCAAGGTTAGTCTGGACAACTTAGTGAGACCCTGTCTCAAAATAAAAAGTAAAAAGAAGACTAGAGCTATAAATCAGTGGTAGGGTGCTTGCCCAGCATGCATGAGACCCTGTACTGTAAAAACAGAATGTTCCTAACTAAAAATATTGAAAGTCACAAAATAACTGAAAATGCCTGAAGGCAGTCAGTATGGGTATCACTTAAGCAAGCAACTTTGGTATGCAGGGAAAAACCATCTGGGGGAAAAAATAATATAACTTCCTACAAAAATTAAAATTAAATTTTACCTGTGAAAATTTACATGTGACAGATTAAGTCATGTACTGTTAGAATGAGAAAAATATTTTAAGCATATGAAATTCAACCTCATTACATTAGAAATTAAAATTAAAACTATAGTAAGAGCTGGGCGTGGTGGCACACACCTTTAATCCCAGCACTCAGGAGGAGGCAGGTGGATCTCTGTAAGATGGAGGCTAGCCTGGTCTACATAGCAAGTTCCAAGCCAGCTGGGAGGGAGACTCTGTCTCAAAAAGAGCCCCCCCCCCAAAAAAAAACCTATGATGAGATACTGTGATATCTGTCAAGTTCATATGGTAATTCCTCGAATGGGTGAGCAAGCATAGTCTTTCACCATGGGACCACAGGACCTCTTTAGATGAGTGGACCTTATCTTTCAAATTGCAAAGCTAATGCCCTTCAAGGACTAATTCTATTTGTAAGAATTTATTCTATAAATATAATCACTCTTGAAACAAAAACCTGTGAATAACAATTATAGAACTGCCGATAAGAGCAAAAGGCTGGCTAGTTAGACTTATGTGGGACAACTGCTGGAATATGTAGCTGTTTTCTGAGACAGGTTAATATGGACTGATAGAGATCAGAGTCCCTTTGTCTACAAAGGATGAGGTGCAGTGTGGTACGTAATGCAGTTATTTCCCTGGAACAGTCTATCATATTTGTTTCTGGTGATGGGGACTGGGGGCAGAGATGGAGATTTCTTTTTTACTGTATGTCTGTTACACACCTTGAAATCATTCACCACATGAACGTGTTATTCTAAGAAGACATACAAGTTTAAGCTGGACCTGATGGTACATGCCTGTAATCCCAGGACTCAGGCGGGGCAAATCTGGTTTGAAGTTAGCCTGGTCTACAAAGTGACTTCTAGCCAGCCAGGGCTATACAGCAAGATCCTACCTCAAAAAATTTTTAATTGAAAAACAGAAGGGGCTAGAGAGATGGCACTTTCAGAGCATTCAAATAAGGCTAAAAACTATCCCTGACTCCAGTTCCAGGGGACCTGACACCCTCTTCTGTCCTCTGCAGGCACTGCATGATACAGGTGCAGTTATATACATATACATACAGGCAATACACTCATACACATAAAATAAAAATAATAAAAAAAAATTTTTGTTTTTTTGAGACAGTATCCCTGTGGCCCCAGCTGGCCTGGAACTCTACGTAGACCAAGCTGGACTAAAACTCACAGATATCCGCCTACTTCTGCCTCCCAAGGGCTGGGATCAAAGGCATGCACTACCACACATGGCAATAGATAAAAATATTTTTTTAACGAAGAAAAAATATAAATGTAAATATAGTTCATTCTGATTAGCCCTCACTAATGCTAGGCTAGGTCTTCCTTGGAAAAGCCAAGGCTCTGTAGTTGCCTTGCATAAGCCCCTTTGTACTTTCTTTCCTTCCTGGTTTCCTATTTAATTTTTGAGACTTCTGCTGCCTCCGGGTAATCTTCACTGTAAAGGCCTGGAGATGTTCTCCTTATCCCAAGCCAGTTGGAGAATTGACTGTCTTTGATAGACCCTCCTGACTCTCAGGCTGTTGGTATTCCTCTCAGAGAAGCAGATTGGGAGTTTCTAGGTTACAGACAGTCTCTAAAGAATCTTGGAGAACTTTTTGTGTATGTAACTCCCCTCCATTTTTCAGAATGCTAGGACAGGGTGGGGCTTAAAAAGAGGAATCTAGTCTCTTCTGTTAATTACTTTATTTCACAAGGCAGCTTCATACAGTGCTATATGCTGGGCAAGAAGGGTTGAGGGGGCACCCACCACATTTCTAAGTACAAAGGGCAGTGATGGAACTCAGTGAAGAATACTCATGAAATCTTTCTCTCTTGCTTCTATTCTAGGGAAGAGGGATTTCGTGGAAACAAATCAGAAGCAGCGACAGAGGAACAGAAATTAGGGTACCCTCCCATTGCTCCATTTTACTGCATGAAAGAGGATGTCCTTGCTTATGTGTTTGACAACGTGTGGAGCAAGGTTGTGGGCTGTATGGAGCAGTTGACACGTAGTCACTGGGAGGGATATGCTTCTGGTAAGGATCTTTGTGAAACCAATGTAAAAAATAATTATTTTTCATTTAAAAACCTCAGTCGGTGTGTGTGTGTGTGTGTGTGTGTGTGTGTGTGTGTGTGTGTTTGTTGCTGGGGTCAAACTCAAGACCTTGTGCTTGCTAGGCAAACATTCTACCACCAAGTTATATCACAGCACTTCTTTATTTTTTGTTTTGGTACAGGGTCTCACTGAGTTATACAGACAGGCCTTCTTGCCTCCACCTCTTGAGTAGCTGCTACTATGGGCCAGTACCCTCATCAGCCTGGCCCTGAGTAGCTGCTACTATGGGCCAGTACCCTCATCAGCCTGGCCCTGAGTAGCTGCTACTATGGGCCAGTACCCTCATCAGCCTGGCCCTGAGTAGCTGCTACTATGGGCCAGTACCCTCATCAGCCTGGCCCTGATCAGCCAAGGTTATATGCTTTATTAGTACAATACCTAGGTATGAAAGACAGCAAAAGCCAAAGTGTTTTCCCCCATTTTCTCACACAACACTTCTGACATTAGATGTGTAAGAGTTTTTCCACACATACTTAATATATTGATTCTGACACCAAATGAATGTTTATATGATTCAATACTGATACTACTTGGGATATAGTGTTAGATCTCAGAGGTTAAGGGCTCAATCCCACAGGCCTATCCCACCTCACACCTCAAATCACATGATACTTTCAAGCTTCAGGTTGTGATCTGTGCTTATGACTAGCTGAAAATTAGAATTGATGGGACTACTTCCTCAGGTTTAATTTGCTCAGAGAATTCACAGAACTCAGGGAAAAACTTCTATTTACTGGCTTATAAACAGTACTACAAAGGATATAGATGAGCAGCCAAATGAGAAGATGCTCAGGGGGCCTGGAGAGATGGCTTGGTGGTTAAGAGCATAGAGCACTGGCTACTGTTGCAGAGGACCCAGGTTTGGTTCCCAGTACCCACATGGCAGCTAACTACAGTCCATAACTCCAATTTCAAGAGGAACTAACACTCTCTTCTGGACTCTGCAGGCATTGTACACATGTGGTACATTTACATACATGTAGGCAAAACACTCATACACATAAAATACAAATAAAAATATTAAATAAAAAAAAAGTATACAGGGGAAAGTGTAGGAAAGGAAGGGGTGCAGACCACATACCATTCATCTCTGGACACTCTACCCTCCAGCACCTCTGGGTTGTCGGCAATCAGGAAGCGCTTCTGAATCAGGCCTTTTGGGTTTTCTATAGATGTCTCATTGCATGGGTATGATTAACTAAATAACTCAATACGGATAACCAACTCAGCCTTCAGCTCCTCACATCACAGATGTCAGGGGAGTGAGGTTAAAAGTTCCAGACTAGGGTCTGAAGAAATGGCTCTGCAATCAAGAGCAACAGCACCCATATGGCAGCTAACAAGCATTCATAACTCCATTTCCAGGGATCCGATGCTCTCTTCTGGCCCCTGCCGGCACTGCAGGCAAAGGTGCACTTACATGCAGACAAAATATTTACAAAATATAAATTTAAAAGTTCCAAACTATCATTTTTGAATAGTAGTTACTGACAAAACTGTACTACATTATTTCAACAATAATGTGAAAGTTGTCACTATTGTTGTAACATGAGTTTGCCATTCATTCCCTTTCCAAATTCTCCAACCTATGGAACATTTTTCAATGTAATCACGTTATTTCTTAAAGAAAGCAATGTGAATAAAATATATATTTTTTAATATTTTATTTATTTTTATTTTATGTGTATGAGTGTATTGCTTGCATGTATGTGAGCACACCCGTGTTGTACAATGCTGCGGAGGTTAGAAGGGGGCTGCAGATTCCCCTGGAACTGGAGTTAAGGCCAGTTCATAGCTGCCATGTGGGTGCTGGAAATCAAGCCCAGGTCCTCTGCAAGTGCAGTCAGTGCTCTTAACCTCTGAGCCACCTCTTCAGCCCATAATAAAATATATTTAAAAAAAAATAGTTCTAAACCTTTTGATTACATGGTTGGTTCCCCTGATAATTAGTCCCTCCCTCAATCCTGAAACTTTTCAGGCTTTCCCAACCACCAGTCATCAAATGGTAGAAGAAAACTGTTGGATGCCTTTAATCCCAGAGGCAGGTGGATCTCTGTGAGATTGACGCCAGCCTGGTCTACATAGTGAGCCCCAAGCCAGCTGGGGATACAGGGAGACTGTCTCAAAAAAAGAGGGACATTGTTGCTTTGAAGATTCCAAGGGTTTTAGGAATTGTGTGCTACACATCAGGGGTACAGACCAAATATGTATTTTTTTATCAAAGTGAGTCTCTTTAATGTTGGTATTTGTCACAGAAACTAGCAGATAATTTAGTATGAATTTGAGAAGGGGTGGATGAGTAAAACAGCCTACTCTGTGATCATCAGAGTTTGTACTTTTCTCCCTCAACATGTACAGTGGCATTTACTTCTCAAACTGTCTTAATGAAGAGTCACTGACATACAATAAACTTCACATATTTAAAGTCTACAATTGTGGCAAGTTCTGTACCGATGAAACCATCCCCACAGTCAATATGTGGACATATCACACCCCCACACAAAGTTCATGCACTTTCTAATCCTTCCTGCAATCATAATATAGTCTCACCATCTGCAAAACATGATTTTGCTGAGGGAAGCCATACAAAGAATGCTCACCATTTAAGTCCATTACACAAACAGCTACAAAAGGCTGACTATTCTGCAGTAACAGAAAGAGGATCACTCTGTCAAGTGCTTTCAACTCAGCAGAATGATTTCTGAGATTCATCCATTTCATTTTGTACACCAGTAATTCCTTTTATTGCTGAGTATTTTTCGTGGTTCCACAGTTTATCAATTCATTTATGGTCATTTGAATTTGCTTTCAGCTTTAGGCTATGTGATACAAAGCTGATGTGAACACTAGAATACAAGAATTTGGGGGGTATATTTTTTTTTAATTTTTAATTTTTTATTTATTTTATTTTTTTTGGTCTTTTTGAGACAGGGTCTTCCTGTAGCCCCAGCTGGCCTGGAACTCACTATGTAGACCAGGCTGGCCTTGAACTCACAGAGATCCGCCTGCCTCTGCCTCCCTAGTGCTGGGATTAAAGGCGTGCGCCACCATGCCCGGCTTATTTTTTATTTTTTAAAGATAGCCTGTAGCTCCAGCTGGCCTGGAACTCACTATGTAGACCAGGCTGGTCTTGAACTCACAGAGATCCACGTGCCTCTGCCTCCCAAGTGCAGGGATTAAAGACATATGCCACCACACTTGGCGTATTTCTGTTTCTTGTAGGCAAATTACAAGTACTGAATGGCTGGGTGATAGCATTAAATATTTTGTCACAAATCATTTACATGCTTTTCTGTGCTACTTAACAAATTGTCACAGATTTCATACCTTTAAATAATACATATTAAAAATAATAATACATATTATTATCTTACACACTTGTGAGTCAGAGGTCCTGGGTCTCACAAGACTGAGATCAAAGTACTGCCAGTGCTGGATTCTCATCTGGAAGCTCAGCTATGAAAGGATCCACTTCTCCTTTTTTGTGTTCTCAGAAGTACTCAGGTCCTTGTGGCTGACTTTCATGGCAGCTTTATATTTCAGACAGCCAGTCAAAAATGTAATTAAGAAACAATTCATTACAATAATATCAAAAGAGTAAGATACTTAGAATAATAAATTGAACTGTGGAAATATAAGAGTTGTACATTAAAAACTAAAAAATACTGTATGAAGAAATTGTAGAAGACCTAGAGAAAAGAGCCTATGTTCATGGACTGGAAGATAATACTACTGCTAATTAAGATGGCAATACTGCTCAAGTACATCAGGGCAGTCCCTACAAAATTCCAAGTGCTTGGTCTGGGTTGGGGTATGGCCAATGGTATAGTGTTTATTTGTCATATCAAAAGTTCTGAGTTTGATCTTCAAAACCAAAGAATAAATAAATAAACAAACAAATAACAAAGGCAAACAAAGCTGCACTTTTGTAAAAAAACATAATTTTACTGATTTTCATGTAAGTAACATTTTATTGACGATTTCAAAAGATAAATAGCATTGTTCTTTTTGACAGTTGTTTTAAAGATAGGCCAATACATTTTATCTTACAGTACACATGTAATTAAACAACATGTACAGCAAGTTTAAAAATACATTTCTGGCCAGGCATGGAGGCGCATGCCTAATCCCAGCACTCAAGAGGCAGAGACGATCTGAGTTGGAGGCCAGCCTGGTCTACATAGTGAGTTCCAGACCAGCTGGGGCTGCAGGAGACCCTTGTCTCAAAAAAGACAAACCAAAACATTTCTGGGCTGGGGAGATGGCTCAAGCAGTTAAGAGTACTGGCTGTTCTTGCGGAGGTCCCTCCCAGGTTCAAATCCCGTCACCCAGAAGGTGACTAAGAACTGCCCGTAACTCCAGTTCCAAAGGATCCAACACCCTCTTCTGTCCTTTGTGGGCACTGCACAACACAGTTGCACTTAGATCCATGCAAGCATAACACTCATACACATAAAAATAAATACCCCCCCCAAATTTTTTAATTTCTAGAATTGCAAAGATAAATTTTGAATTTTTAAAAAAATATGTCAGATGTATTTTTTTTTCTATTCTCTACATCTTAACTGTATCCAATCTATAACTTAAATCAGCTATTCTGTTCCTGTTAGGACATTAAATTTTTAACGTATGTTTTTATTGAGTTTTTGTGCATTTCATATAATAGTTTTTGTTTGTTTGTTTTGTCTTTTTGAGACAGGGTCTCCCGGTAGCCCCAGCTGTCCTGGAACTCACTATGTAGACCAGGCTGGCCTTGAACTCTCAGAGATCCACCTGCCTCTGCCTCCCGAGTGCTGAGATTAAAGGCGTGAGCCACCATGCCTGGTTTATTTTATTATTTTTAATTTATGTGTATGAGTGTATTGCCCTGCAATGCCATGTAGGTCAAAAGAGGGCTTCGGATTCCCCTGGAACTGGAGT